GCTTGAGGCTTTCTTCTACTAATTTTCGAATTACTAGGATCTAAAAGGGAATGTTCCCAAATACTGTTTGCTCCATTATCATTCAATGTATGTACCATCTATAAGTTAATAATCATTATTTTTTAAATTAGAAACTTTCTGACTAAATTTGTACTTATCTTTACTAACATTAAGAAGGTTTGCATGCCAAATGCTCTTATGAAGTGATTTTATTTGAGATATATGACGACCAAGGCTACGATGTACACCACAACAGTCATCACATAATAAAATTGCTCTGTTCAATGAAGCCCATCCTGGTTCTAAAAGCAATTTTAAAATTTATTTCCATGTAACTTTTATGATAAAATATAAATAAAAATTGTAATAAATAGAAAGAAATTACATGAATAAAATCACAAATAACAATAATTTTTTCTCAAAGTTAATATAATATACATTATAAAATTCGGTAATTACATAAAAATTATGAATAAAATATAATTTTCTGGTACATAAATTAGTTACCTTATATAACATAGACATGTGAAAAAGTATATAGAAAATGTAATTAGTTTTAATCAATTTGAAAACAATTTTTTATTAAAATGTGATTACACAATATTAGTAAGAAATTAAATATATTTAATAAAGATCGTATGTGAAATAAATCATTAAAAGAAAAGAATGCATTTACCGAGTGCTCCGCAATCAGCGCATATATCCGTGTTAACTCTATGCTTTGGCCGAGCCATTCTCTTTACCTTTATTTCGTTAAAGTACGGTAGTTAGACTTGTTATGAGAAGTTTAAAAGGCGTAACATAATGCACAGGTTCTTTTAAAAATAATAACATCGAAAACCAATTTAGAAATAAGAATTCCTAATTTGGATGTCATTATATATTTAATGATTTCACTGTGACAGAAATCATCCCAAGCTAGCTTGAGGTAGTGGCACCATTGATCGAGCATCCTAAAAGATATGCAATCATACGATACACTTTTGCTTACATTATTTTATTCTAACCTATTCCATTTTTACGTTATATTAAATATTCTTTTTACATGTATTTCAAAAACTTATATATTTTTAACAATATTATAAGAAATTTTATTTTATACTTATATTTGTAATTTATACAAAATCTATGAAATTAAATTTGAATGATAACTTCAATTTTCTTGTTAAAATTGGTATTTTAATAAATACACGAAAATATATTTATTAATTTCTATTTAATAAAAAATATACATATATTTATTTTATATTTAAATTTTTATGTAAATTTGCAACAATTTTTTCATTAAAATTTAAACATGCACACATTAACATACACATACACAATTATAAAACTTACATTAACTAATCATAATTTTACTACATATAATATTTTAGATTATTGTATAGCTTTTGTATATAAATTAAATACATATATTTATCAATATCTTTCAATTCAATATCATTAAGTAAAGAAATTCATATTTAAGAATCTGGTGATTCAGAGTATAAATTCTGAAGATCCGTGAGCAGTTTATTTGATATATATGATACATTAACAGATTTGTCTATACTATCTACTTGGCATAAAGATCTGAACTTTTTACCATCCGGAGTTTCTAAAAAATTTATATTTGATTTTAAAGCCATATATTCTCTGAGTGATCGATTCTGCTTACATTTTTTTAGACTTTTAGGAGTCTTTGGTTTAGATAAGTAATTTTGAATAGGTTTTGCATGCATAATATTAAGTTGATTTTCTAATTCTAGAAAACTTCCATCAGCTACTGCAGTATCAGACATTCTTCTTATATTGAAACCTCTGTCATTTTCTTTATTTTCATCATTTGCAGTTGACTTACTTTCATTTGAATCCTTTTTGTTTATTACTGTAATTTGTGGTATATGTGTAATAGGTGTCTTCAACTGTTCTTCTGAATATTGTACTGATTTGCAACAAGTTTCTACTTGAACTCCTTTGTCCATCATTTTATTACTTCTATTCTCAATATCAGGAGTAATATCTCTCTCTTTTACAAGTAATTCTGTGACATGTGTTAACACTGATCTTAATTTAGTTATCCTTTCCTCTGTTTCTTTTAATAAATCTTTTAAGTCATGTTCCAATCGAATAATTTTATCTTTATTTATACAGATCATCTCAGATGATTCCACATCTGTACAATTTTCAGAAGCCACTAATTTTATATCTTCAATATCATTATATAAATTTTGAATACAGTTATCTGTTTCTTTTGGTTTTGATGATATGTCACATTTTAAAGCACTCTTGTTTGGAATAAATTTCTCATGTATTGAATTATTTTGTGTAAACACATGATTCTCATTATTTGTTACTATTTGTTGAGAGGATTTTAATGCTACATGCGATGTTTCCAAACGTTGTACATGATTTACATCAATAGGATTTGGTTTTGAATGATTAGAACATTGAACAATTTTCTGTTCATTATATATTTTCCTATTCTTAGATGGTACTGCAGAATTAATATTAACAGCTAAGGATTCACTTGTGATTTTATTTTCATTTTTAGAGTCAGTGTTTACTTCATCTATTTCTTTTGATATTTCATATATTGTTGACTGCCTAGTTATATTCACATTACATTTTTCTAAATATTTATCTTTTATAGCATTTGGTGGTAGTAATAAACTTCTTTTCTTTATTGGTTTAGAAATCTTATGATGAAACTGCTCAGATTTGTCTGGTTGAGTTTTATTTTCATTGTTATTTTTTGTAGCATTAATAGGAGTACCATTAAAATTAAGAAATCTACGTACATGCTTCTTAGAGGATTCAATTTGAATATCTAACAAAAATAAAATTATATGTTATTATAAATATTTAATTAAAGATACTAATATATACTAACCACTTTGTTTCACATTTGCCCTTATATTTTTTTTATTTGAAAGTGCACCCAATCTTTCTGGTTGTGTTCTTTTACGTACTGAAATTCGTTTATTTTTATGAATATATGACACTTACATAAAAAAGATTAAGGACAGAATATATATATGTACCACTGTCTTGAGGAATGCCTTTTACATGTTCAGGTAGACGAAGCAATTGTGCAATTTTAATTGGTTGAGGCCTTTCATAGTCTATGAAATAAAAACTTAATTAGTAGGACTATTTGATTTATGTAAGAAAATTATATTATAGCGAAATTACCTTCTTTATGTACACTGTTTGATAGTAATTTTGAACATGTTGAATATTCTGTCATCCTTTTTGACTGTGGTCGCTTAACTTTGGATTTACCCTGAAAGAAAATATGTAATCATGTATATCATTTATGTAGACTTTTTATATATTACAAAATTTAATTTACACCCACTGTTGAACTAGATGTAATAGGCATTATTTTTAATTCTGGATTGAGTATTAATGTATCAAAATATTATATCTTTCACATTATAATTTATACCACAAGTTGCTTTTTACTTATTTTATCCATTCTTACTTCATATAATGTACTACAGTAATTAAATGCTTTTAACAATTACACTATAAACATAAATAAAGTACAAATGTAAAGATAATGTATATAAACAAATTCAAATTTCTTAGAATTTAACGGATTTTAATCATGAAACGCAATAATGAATAGATTCGTAAGCGACAAATCATGTTTTAGTTATATGGAATGGCGCATTTACATTGTGCAAGCATAGCATACACCAATGAAAAGTTGTGAACTTACATTTTACATATCGCGCGTTTAATTTATAATTCTAAATCCACAAAATAGAAATAAAAGTTATATATTGAATAGCAATAATTTTTATGGATACTTATGTATATAATGTACACTACACGATTAATTACTTGTTACAGGCAAGTACTATGCAAATGTGAAAGGTTTTGCGCAGATTTCTTATCTATAGTTGGCTATTCCCCAAAGTCACATCTGTCGGCCATTTTGTTAAATTTATTTCTAAACGTATCCCCTCCAAATTGAAAACAACCGAAGGTTGACGCTGTTCTTAATCTCGATAAAGTATTTTTGGTTAGGTTAATAGCTGTGTAGAGGATATTTAACAGTAAGTAAATTATTGTGATTGCGTCTATTTCTATCAACATTGAATTGAGACAGAAAATTTCTACGCGAACAAGTGCCACTTTAGTATAGTTCGTAATGTGTAATTGGATGGAAGGAGGCTCAGAATAAAGAGAGGCTATGGCTACTGCTTTGATCATATGTAAAATACTGTTACCCTATCGGCCACCCATTGTTTTTCATTACCCATCTATTTGGCACTTCTATCAATTGGTTCATTCGCGTAAAACAATTTTCTATTTCGAAATGCTTCTTATAACCTCTAAAGTCATAACCTATATAATATAACCTTAGATGTCAACATTTTAAATATCGTTGTTTAAAAAGTTTAGTGAAAACGCTCTTAGAAAATCTTAAATCCATAATTGATAAATAATTTTGAATGACTCTTACTGTATCTTTTAAGTTAGTTTCACACGCAACTTTCAACATTACACCTTATGTTATTTAATATTATATATTATTAAATAAATTTAATTCATTTTCGATAGGAAATGTGTAAAGAGGAATCTTTCGTTAACAATTTGTAATTAAGAATGAAAGTAATTATTTTCTTACTATAAAGATAGTTACTATAGATAGAAGACTTTCTGTGAAAACAATTCTTTAATTCACAATGTTTTATTTTTACTTAAAAATTAAGTAGATAATCATCTATTAAAAAGAAAGTTTTCTTTTGAATTTAAACCATATCTCTTTAGATTTAAATTAATTGTGTCAGTATTTAACCTCATATAATACATTTTTGATGTTTATGTATTTATATGTTCTGTGTATTATGTATATACTGGTAGATGATATATAAATATTGTATAAATAATATATCAAAGTAATGAAATAAAAGAAATTAAAATGATCACTATAACAACTTTAAGATTAAGAGTAATTCTTATATTTTAGTGATTTCAGTGATCAAATAAGTTTAGATTATAACAAAATGGATGTTGCTGGAGACTTAACACTACAGTGGGTGGAGGAGGTAGGAAATGTTATTCACGAAGAGGTAATATGTGGTTTAGAAGCACAACTTGTTGGAGCAGAAGAGGAAGTGATAGGAGCTTGCGAAGAAGTTACAATAGAAGAAACAGTAGAGTCAGTTCCCAATGTTACTTCTACGACAGGGTCAGAAATATTAATGGTACCACAATCCAACGACATGGAATCTATTTACATAGTTCCACAAGATCAAGGTCATGATTATTTGAACATACAGGTTACAGAAGAAGTAATTGCAGATAATTGGGATAGATCTGGACCAGAAGATGGGTAAGTTTAAATAAAATATCTTTTTAAGTTAAATTTAGTAAATTGAATAATGAATTAATTTTACATTTTGAAGAATTGAAATATCAGAAGTAAAAGTATCTCATGAAAATTTACTGGAATATGATGATATGGAGATACCATTGCCAATTGATCAAGATTCATATACAAATAGCAGACCTTATCCATGTGATTTCTGTAGTAGGAGGTTCAGAAAGAAAGCAAACTTAATGAATCATATGGTAACACATCAAACAGATCGACCTCATGGTTGTAATTTATGTGGAGCACGTTATGCAAGAAAATGTGATCTTATGAATCATTTAAAGATTCATGCTTATGCACCACCACGAGATGGTTTAGAAGATGATTTAAATGATGATGATTCATTGGCACCAGAAGAAGAGGAATCTACTAAAGGTAGACGTAAAAAGGTACAATCAAGCGTACCAAGAAAGCGCAAAAATAATTCTATTTCAAAACGCAATATGGAAGATAATAAAATGGAAATGGGCAAGTACGTCAGTAAATCTTATGATTATGTTGACGAAGATATGCGCCTTTTGGAGGAAATGACTAGTAGAAATTCTGCGCGCACTAGTAACTATGCTTCAAGTTCAAGATGGACTGAACAGATGTCACCTGTATCAAATGAAGTTCAAACACCACGGTGGCCTATAACTGATCCAACAAAACCATATGTGTGTCAGTATTGTGGTGTTGGTTTTGCAAGGGAAAAAGCACTTGCTTCTCATGCACGCATACATGGTGGTGATAGTCCATTTGAATGTACATCTTGTGGTGATATGTTTTGGGATGTTAATAGTTTAAGGGAACATGTTCGTATCAAACATGGTGGTACAGTACAATCTGATACAGAGGAATATGATAATGATGCCACATATACAGGAGATGAAAGATTTGGGGAATTCTATTGTAATACTTGTGGTGTTCCTTTTCATCGTTTGGATTTACTTAAACGCCATCAAAAGTAAGATAACTTTATGCTAGTGGACAAACTATATTTATTTATTAAGATTGCATATATTGGCTAAAACTGCATTTTGTCTCAATGCTTGACCAATTTGCAAGAAAATTAATTACAATGTGATATTAATTTTAATGTTGATTGCATTAGGATTCATGTGAAACAGGAGGCTGCTGATATGATGGAAGGTCCAAGTCGACTTCATGTTTGTAATGTTTGTGGTGAATGGTTTGAGGAAGCTTTGGCATTGTTAGCACATGCTGAACTTCATGCTAGGTATTATTTAACTAAGATTTCTTTTTAATTAAAGTTTGGATCTGTAGGATAATAATATTTTTGAAAATTTATATTATTCTAAATTTATTTATATTGTATATTTAAATGAATATTACTATAAAAGATTGTTTAACCTGTCTAGATCACCCGGTCATCGATGTTTATTGTGTGGGGAAAGATGTCGTGATGATGCTGAAGTTGCTGAACATGTTCGACAAAATCATGCTGAAGATGCTCCTCCGAATACATGTACTCTTTGTGGAAAAACGTGTAAAGATAAACGCAGTTTATTAAAGCATTCATGGGTTCATAATGTCGATAAGACTTTTGGATGTACAAAATGTGGGAAACGTTTTCATAGCAAAGCCAGATTACGAAGGTACTTATTGTAATTGTTCTTATATATCTGTAACCCCAATCTTTTACTTACTACAATCTCGTTTTAGACATATGGTATCACATCGCAATAAGATGGTAGCTTGTGACGAGTGTGGAGAAGAGTTTCCTGATGGTAGAGCTTTGGTTAGCCACCGTCATTCACATAATAAAGATCTAGGTGGTCGTTCTTTCCCATGTCGAGAATGTGGAAAAACATTTGGTAGTCGTAGTTCACAGCAAATTCATATTCGCATTCACACTGGAGAAAGACCATATGGTTGTAGATTTTGTTGGAAAGCATTTGCTGATGGCGGAACTTTAAGAAAACACGAACGTATCCATACAGGAGAAAAGCCATATGGATGCGCAATTTGTCCACGTGCTTTTAATCAAAGAGTAAGGCAGCTTAATTAAAATATACTTTACTATTCCATTTAAATACATTATATCTTAATTTTCTATTACTTCTTTTTTATTACCTTAGGTTGTTCTTAGAGAACATGTTCGTGCTCATCATTCAGGTCCTGATCCAAAATGTGTAGGTAGTATTACACCATACTTATGTAAAGTATGTGGTGATGCGTATGGAACATCGGAAGAAATAGTTGCTCATATTGTGCAACATTGTGATGATAATACCGCATTAAGACGTCAACCACAAACTGGACCACGTAAATATAAAAGAAGACGTAAATTAAAAACCCATGAGACCAACACGATGTTGCGTATGACTGAGCAGTATGATATGGAAGGAGGTTCTGATTCAGATGATAATACAAAAAGAAAGCTTGGAAGAAAAAATAAGCAACATCGATCGAATGTTGAAGAAGGTTATCAGAATGTTCTTAAAAGTTTTGAAAACTCTTTACAAAATATAAATTCAATCGTCAGCAATTCAAAGTTAAATCCTGGAAAATCAAAGCTTTCTAAGAAGAAGCTTAGGAAAGAAGAAAAAAAAAGTGAAGCTGAAGCTTCGTGTCAACCTGGTAGACCAAAAATGATTCATACCCAAAAAACAAGAGTGCCTGTAGAAATTGGTGGTGATGGAGTTAAAAAGGGACAGAAAACTAAAACAATGGTAACAAGGACACCTAAAATGATGCCACAAGAACACAAGTTAGGTGTTTTCCCGGGCGGGGAAAGGAACAGACCAAGAACAAAAAACGTTAGTTATCACATTGAAGGGAAACTTCAACCAACACCTGCAACATTCCCAAAACAAAAGGAAGAAACTTTATTACCTCCAACACCAATACATCATCAATCGCTATTAACCAATATAAAAATAGAACCTAACTTACAAAAAACGTCAAATAATAATCACAGAAATAATAATGGCAATATTCTTGCTATTAATAATGAAAAAATGGAGCCAACACCTAGAAAAAAATCAGGTGTCTTGAGAAAAATTAAAAAACAGAAAGATGTAATTAAGCAAGAACCAATAGATATTGACCACGAGGAAATACAAAATAATAATAATACAGAAAATACGGATTCAGAAAGATTAATGGATCATTCAGTGGATGGAAGTAATTTAGAAGTCGCGTTCGAGGCAAGTGTTACAACCGAGGAAGAAAATATACTTCCTGATGTAGGTGAAGCAAATAATACCGAAGATGTGGGTACTGGAAATGTAAAACTTAGTGTAAAAGTTGAGTCAACACCTCAAAGAATGTTGGCTGTTCATAGCGTTATAGCCCCTGTGGATGATATTCCAGAAACTATAATACCAGATGCTGTAGAATATACATGTGAAATGTGTTCTGCAGTATTTTCCAGTCGGGCAGAATTATTGGTCCATGTTCCAATACACATTTGATTTAATTTGTTCAATGAAGTTAATGAGGTATGCAAAATTTGTTCAATTTTAAGAATATTTGATTAATTAAGCAATATTTTAACAATGGTCAATGAAAGTTTATATGTTTATTTCAATTGACATTATGTTATTATGCCAAAATGTCCTCTACTCGTTGCTCTATGAAGTGCACCAGATGTTTGTGTTTAACATATATTTTAAAAGTTGATGCTGTCTTTAGTTTATATTACGTCATTCTATGTATGGTATGCAGAAACTTTCAAACATAATCGTTTTCAATTAACATTATTATTATATCCTTTTTATACTATTCGTGTTTCTCTTTAACAAAGCTGTTTGGCTCAAAATTCATATTGAATCATGATACAATGAGTAATGTTATAAATATTTTATATGTTTACAATTTACAAAGTCACCTACCCCTGTCAAAGGATTGAAATCTTAGACCATTCTTTTACAATCCACAATTTTATAATGAAATTTAACAAAAAATGAAATAATGGCACGCTGTGTACATAAAATATTAAGATATTCTAAACATTAATGCAAGTGTATTTTATAATATATATTATTCATTTATATGAATTAAATCTACTTCGTACTTTGCTTTTAGCTCCTAAGTAATTAGATACATGACAGCCAATGCATTGAAGTGTTATGATAAATAATTTGTATGCAATATTACCATCTGAACCCAGATTGTTTTTCATTAATTTTTTACTTATAACAATACGTAGAAGTCAACATAGCATAATTGGGAAATTAGGTATTAACTATTTAATTCATATTTGAAGAAAAAAGAGATTATACTTATAAATTTGTCTTGAATCAAATACCTGTAACATTGTAACATGTAATAACACATTTACTTTTCACAAGATGCAATGGAAACATATTTGTACAAATTAATTTTCATATTTTGGAGCATTCTGTAACACAAACACGAATGCATTATTACTATTTAATAGTATTCATAATAAAAATATAATTATTATTATGGTATACTTTGTTTATACTAACATATCTGAATGGTTTTTTAAAATTAGAAAACCATTTTAATACATTTGGCATTATATGTAATTATATGAAACATGTGTAGAATTTGATGAAAAAGGAAACATTAAAGCTTAAATGTTATAAGCTCCCAAATTATTTTAATTTAAATGCTGGTATAATATGCAGAATCAAATATGAATTTCAAACTTAAAAGAAGGACAAAATTCTAGTGTATCTATTATCTTATTTATTTACTTACATTACATGTTGAAAATATATATTTCATTAGATGTGATATCATTCATCAGTTGTATATTATTTATAGCTGATGATGTTATTATAACTGATGAATGCTATTATAGCATTACATTAAACAGTACCATAGAGGAAAGAGCAGAATTATATTTTGTTTTGGTTAATATAAATTTACATATTACTATAAGCTCATAAAAGTTTAATGTTACAGAGTAAAGATTTGAGTATTGGAGATAGTGTATATACTATCGTACAAATATTTTAGATATATTGACAAGTAGCTTTTGCAACATCGCATTTTTGTTCCATAAAAATAAATAATTATACACAGATATTAAAGTTTTCTTTCTAATTATTACTAAAGAGATTTAATAATTTTATTTATTTTCAGATAAAAATAGTTCAATTAATTTTTAATTATCTCTTGTCATTTTTTTTTCTGTTCGAATACTCTGAATACAATTTTTATTAATAAGAAACATATTTCATCTCAAAAAGTTGTATTAAATTAAATTTGAAATTATTTTATATAAAATAATATTTGCTGTTTACTAAATTACATGTTATAAATATTCAAGATTTTTATTGCTTTGCAGATGTTTTATATTTTACTAATTAATATCTAGTATTATGTTAAATAATAAAAAAACATCTAATTAATGTTCCAAATTGTGTAAAGTCTGCAAGGTCGTATAATTGAATATTATGTTTTAAAAATTATTTAAAATATATATATATTTTCTTGTATAAAGTAACATACAATAATTTTATTATATTTAATCCAAGATACTGTAGACTTTTGTAATATCTTTCTTAGCTTCGAGGTGATATATGTGTATATGCGTGATTGTATATATATATACATATATATATATATATATATATGTATATATGTATTCAAAAGTTAAATTAATTGTATTTCAATGGCATTATATGAGGCAATCAATCAAAATCAGTGTGTGCTCTATTTTTATAACTAAGAGATATTTTGAATATAATGAAGAATATAATAAAAATTCTGATACCATTTGTAACATTTTGCAAAACAATGTGTGTATATACATATATATATTATTATTTGATATTTTTATCTGTCTTTATAGAAATGGTGCACAATGCCCACTATTCATTTGTTTCTATATATTTTTATATATAAACGAAATTATTTGAAAAAATTCAACAAGTAAATTAAAAGATATTGGTAATATTGTTTAAGGAAAAAAGACACTTTTCAGAGAAACATTAAGAGAGAAACATTCAGAGAGAAACATTCAGAGAGAAAGTAATAGAGAATGCGTTTAATAATTATATTCATGGGACAGCATCATATTTTGTATGTTGTGTACATACTTGAATAGTGATTAATTTTTTTAGTAGTATATGTAATCATATTAATGATGTAATGCTAAAGAAACAATTAAAACCAGTTTAAAACTACTTAAATTCACAGAATACAAACTAGACTTTGTACTGTTTCGGAATTATGATACAAGACATTTAGAGATGTCTTATAAATTTAGAAAAATTCATATGTGACCAATGTAAAGTTACAATTTTTGGGTAAGAACTATGTAAATATAAATTTACATAAAAAAACATCAAAAATCTCGGACAAAGGTTGATATATTATGTATAAATAATTCTTATTTCAATATTACACATAATTACATTCCCGTTTAACGGTAGCTTTAATATTATTTAAGCATAACACAAAAGATTCGAAAATTGATTTAGTTAACGCGTGCATAGAGCAGCTAGTGCAGGTGGCAATAATTGCAAAGAAATGCAAATTGGATGAAATTTCGAAATAAAATATTTAAAAAGTGGTACAGACAAGAACATGTACATAAGTTTTTTGTTTTTTCAACTATAAGAAGATTGATTGCATGTAAGTATCCGTGGCTTCTTTCTACCGATAATTAATCTAAAATAAATAGTGTAGCATATAATACTATGTTGCATGATAAAATCTTAAACAGTTGCTGAAAAATTCGTATATGTATTACTTAAGTTGTAAACTATATAAAATTTAAGAATATGTATAGACCTATAAGCTCTAAATTAGCATTTTCTCGATAGAATTGTTTGTATCTATCAGAGATAAAGTAGCTAAAGAAAGAAAGTGTACATACTATTATCTTGGATATGGTATGGTGTTGTTAATCGTAGTTATATATATATATTTTTTTTTTTTAACAAACCGCGTCAATAATAAAGATATAATTAATTACGTCCGCACAAAGTCACGGATAATTCGAAGTACATATAGTAATGATGTGTGTACAATTGTAAATATGTATTCATTTGTATACTTTAAAGTTGTGTCATTTCTATCTAGTGACAAGTTTAAAAAAATGGTACAGATTCGATAGAATTGGTTTAAGTTACACTATCAAATACTTGCTGCTTTTGTTTTTATTTTGAATTAAAACTTATACAAAATATACAAATTAATGCGGTTGAAAAAATTATGTAAATGGATGGTAGTTATATATAATTTAATATTATACTGTATAAAGTCTTAAAACTTTATATTATGGAAATCATAATAATAGTATAACAACAATGTTTTCACCATTCATAAAAATATGTATAATATTATCTATGTTTATGCTAAGAGCAGGTATATAATTTAAGGTACTGTATCTTTAATTAGGGAATAAAATCACAAATATTATAAATTTCTTTCTCAAATCCCATACATATAACAGAGACTATGATTAGAAATGCTCCAATGATACTGGTTGATGTAGGCTGATCTCCAAAAAAATATATTTGTACAATATAAGCTAAAATAATATCTAAAGATCTAGTCACTGATACTTTTCCAGCACCTTCTATCTTTAATGCATTAGTTACTAAAATTTGACCTGATAATCCAGTTAGTGCTACTAACAATATTTTACTCCAGGTAATCCAATCATGTGGCAACTTTGATTTTTGTTCGTGATTATCTGACACAAGGAAGAAGAAAAATATTGCTGTAATGAGTGAATACCAAGATAGGTTGAAGATTATTGTTGAATAATGGATTTTCGAACACTTCCTCATAATAACTATGTTAAGAGCTGTAAACAGGGTTGCTAAGATAGCACATACATATCCCATCACATTGTACGATTCAGCTCTATATATCTAAAAAAGAAATACTTTATATCAAATTATTTATTTACAGAAGTATAAAAAATGTTGTTCTTTTACCTGAAATAGAAATGGTGGTTTAGATACAAAAACAACACCTGCAAAGAGTGCACACATAACTATCACACGTAATATTCCACAAGGTTCTTTTAACAAAATGAAAGATAGTGCAATAACAATCACTGGAGAACTAAATATGATTGTTGTAGCATCTCCTATAGGTAATTTTCGAAAACTATAATATAATAATGATAAAGTTGCACCACCTACTATTCCCTAAGAAAAGATAATATACTTTATTAGATTATTTTTATTTATTATTATACAGAATATTATATAACTATTATTAATTTTATAGTTAACATACTTGCAAATGTAAGAGCATTCTTTGCCCTTTGGGTCCAAAAAGACTTTTGGAAACTTTAAGTGCTACAGTAGCCATAACTAACATTTGTAGAACAGATCTGATAGCCAGTAATACCATAGGATGTACGTTTTCTACTGCTTTGACTAATGCAGAACTAATTGTAAAAAATGTACCTGATAGAAATGCCAAAAATACTCCATACCATTTGGTACCCTCTTGATATGTTTCAGCATTATTGGCGAATTGTTCAGTGTAATGATATTCTGGATGTATACTGTTATAAGAAGCAGTAGATTCAATGCTGAACTTCATTCTTTGGCTATTTTACAGCTACAATACACGATTATACTGAACGAGACATTTGCGATATACTACCGTTTACCGCTAATACAGCTGCTGTCTGATAAAATTAACATACAGCTTTGCACGTCAAACAGCTTATTACAGATTAATGCTGGTAGGAAGATTTGGAAAATGTAACGATTGAATTGAAATTCGTCTGTATGTAAAACAGTAAAAAAATGTTAATTATAAGATCAAATTTGTTATAAAAATATGGTTCTCTTTACATTTATTTAAAGATATTTTTTATTTTAAAATTAATGTATTCATTAATATAACTGAAATAAGTACATCTATTCATAATTATGTAACTTAATACAAATAACTGGAACCTATATTTTTTGTTAAATGAATTATGATATTGAAGGAGCCTGTAGATACATTCATACACCTTATAGATTTATTTCAGTGATTATTTTTATTATGATAGTAAAATGATTTGAAAAATATATTTTTCCTTTCGAATAATTTGAATTATATAGTTAGAAAAGAAATATGTTCATAAGATTATTATACCATAAACATTTATGCATCACTTTTTAGACAAAATGTATATACAATTATATAACAGCAATTAATCCTTTCCAAACTGAATACCAGTTAGTGGTTTATCTACACGGTAAAGTGTAGTACCCAAGTTGAAATATCCCAAGTATTCAATAGTTTCTGGTGTTGTATCAATATGATAATGTCCACCTTCTCCGTGATGGGAAAAGCTGTGGAAATGCTGAACACGAAGATCTAAATCCTAAAATTACAATTCATACGCGATATGATGTGAAACAATACACATAATAGATTAAATAAGATTTTAGATAATTTATTATCAATATTAAAATGAAGTTTAGATACTTTATCCTGTAACTATAAAACATCTACTTTTATATAACTTTACTTACACTTTCAGAACTGACAAATGTACCAACAGCTATTAGGGGTGTTGACATATTATAGAAGTGTAACCAATTATTAAGTTGTGCTTCCGTCTTTAATGGAGTTTTTGAGAAGTCTGCCATAACATGCTGTTTAACTTTTCCATCTTTCATTAAAAACGTTCCTCCTAATCCTATAATTGTACAAATTTAATACAAGAATTTAACTGCATCCATCACAAGTATATTTATTAATAATAGAATTTCTTACCAACAAGATTATTTGGATAATGCAGAGCAATTGCTTTTTGCATAGATGCAATAAAATCATCATTTCCAGTACGTCTTGTAGCATGGACTTTTAAAACTTTACCTGGTTTCCCTCCAGTAACAAACAAATTAGCTAATAAAGCGAGTCTTGTTTCAGTATTAGGTAATGTTTGAAGCACACAATTTCCATTTGTTGTATTGACAGATGAAATACGAGTTTCATTTTGCACACTGGATGGTGAAACACTTAAATTCATTATAAGCTAGAAGAAAGTAAATTATTTATCAAGGAGATAATTAAATTGAATATGTAAATTTATAACTAAGAGTTTACTGTAATTGTTATACCTCACAATTGGAATTTAGATATGGCCATGGACCAGCTCCTGCTCCAACAACAAAAGAATCTTCTTTGTATTGTAAGTGATCCAAAAGTTGTTGGATGTCATATAATTTATTTTTTTGTACAGTAGGAAGAAGAAATGCTGGTCCACCAATTTCTAGTAATGTTGGGTTGCCAGCTAATCCTGAATATTCAATTTCATATATTAATTTAAAATAATACAAAAGATATTTAATATTTAAAATATTAGTTACCTGGCGCAGCAAGTGTGAAAGGTTCTTTCGTTAAATCTGGACAATCAACAACTTCTACTTCTACATCCGCGAAATTTTTAATCAATCCTTCTTTTAAGACTATTAAAAAAAATATGTGTATTTATATTACATTACAAAATCTTTTTATAAATAGAGATTATATTTCAGTTATGAATTACCATCTTTTATTTCATCAAGAGAAGGAACATGTAGGTCTCTTTTTACTATGGTAAGTTCATTGGGATTTAAAGTAGTCATAATCGATATATTGATATATAAAATTACCTAAAAGTTTGTTTTTATGATATTAGTATAGATTTGTAATAATTCAAATATAAGTAAAAATATAGTTGAAGTTACCTGTAAATAAGAATTGAATTAAAGAGAGTAAATGAAAGAAACGTAGTACGTATATAAGATCTTGAATGTAGTTCGTCAAGCGAAACTTGATTTATCTAATCATGTGTTTGAGCACGACCTTTTATTTCATAAGAATGTAATAAATCAGTTCCTTACATATACATATATATATTCAATTATAATAATTCCTATACGGAATCTCCGTTATAGAGATATGTAGAATAATTTATAGTTATGTTCAATATAACGTGTATTTCTTAATATGTAAAAATATTGGCGAAAGATTTACATGACATTACCACTGCCGAATCAAAAAAATAATTTTTGAAGTTTTTATAAGAATAAAAAGCTTTTATGTTTCACCAAATTCGGATATTAATGAATTAAACAATTTAAAACAAATAATATAGTAATAAGGCAGAAGCAGATCTATGGAATATTTGTCAAATTTTTTAGAAAATTATATAACTAAATTATATTGAAGATAATAAGTATAGGGAAGTTCCATACAGTCTTGTATTTTTATTGAAGATGAAAATAAGTGCGAGCAAAAAAGATAAATGAAGTTTACAAAGAGAAAATGTCAAGTACAAAACAGATAAGATAGCAAAATTGTCGATTGACGTCAAAAACTTTCGTGTTATAAATTACTTATAGTTTCCTTCAGAGATGGCAACACAATGCAGTTTTATTGGAGTATTGAAATATTCGCATGTGTCAAACAACGAAATCTAAATAAAAATTCATTAAATGATATTGATATTTGTTTATGAGTTCTCATATCGATAATTACAATATTATATTTCAAATCAATCCTGCAGTTTATGCACTTTTATGTATACAAATAGAGAAATGTGTTACAAACTTCTTAAAATATTTCTATGCATGATGTTCCGATGCATATGCTAAGTAAGTAAATAAGATTTTTAATAGTTATATTAATAGAATTGGAAGTTTGGGAATGAGGAGCACTATATTTTTTTATTTTCTACTACGTTACAGATAAATTGGATTTGCAAGAGAATTTATAATTTAACTTGTGTCAGCCTTATGTCGAAGGGATCCGATGTAAAAGTCAGAAAAGAGGGTTGGAACACGTTGGTGTTCGGTAGGGTTGTCGTGGATGCGCATTGGACGTCGAAGGAGTCTATCGTGTATCAGCTAACGTTCCTGGATCACATCGTCAGTATGCGGTCGCGCATTCCATGCGGAAGCACCTGTTTGTTCTTTCGGCTTCTACATCGGCTTTTTAATCTCAAATCACGTCGAATACTTCTCATCGTGTTTACTTATAATTTAATACAATCACCAAATATTTAAAAATCAGGAACAGAAGAAAAAATCACAGAGAATATTTATATTCAAAATCTTTGAATTAAGATCGAAGTAAGAGAACAATCGAAAAGAAAAGAGAGAGTGAGAGAAAAAGAAAAGTACCAAAATATTTCGATCAAAAAATCCTTAAATATTATTAAATGCTTAGAAGGAAGATTAGAGAATTAACAGAATAGTTCTGAAAATTATTCATTGTGATCAAAGGAGAGAAAGAATTATTAGATACAATCGGTGTAACCGAATAACGAACAAAATACAGGTACAAAGTACCGTTGAGCGGGAAGAGGAAGCGAAAACTGAAAGAAAGAGCGAAGGAGACGAGGATAGTTTTAACCACGAGAGAGGAACGTCCTCGTGACTTCAACCACGTGTCTCTCGTGGTCCTCGTTTAAACACGCGTAAGAGCAATTTTCTCTATTGACGTACACCGGTTGTTCGTGGTTGCTCGTACTGATGGATACTCTTGTTTCTTTGCCACGGATCTATTCACGAATAGGAACCGGCATGCGATCTTTTTAAAATCAAATGTCTATTTAATTTTTTTCGTATGTATCTTCCTTCGATGTTAATGTAATCACTTACCCCGTTCACATTCTCCTTTCCCTTTATCACTGTAGCATGCAATTAACCTAAGTGTTGTTATATTCTAGCTAAATTCTAAAATTTTGCATGCTGCGGATCAAACTGTACCTCGTTAATGTCTGTGAAATAATTGTTCCTATTTCCTTCTATCTGTTCTTTCTCACAATTCTTGAGTTTCGCAAAATTCTTGCAGCTATAATATTTTTTTAATTGTAATGTAAAGCCGCCACAAAACGGCCATTATTTTGTATTCCTAGATTCAAAGATCACTTGTTAGTTACTCCGCTTATGAGTCAAATTTCAGATGAATCTAAATTTCTTCCGAGAACAAAATCAAATTTAAGTTTAAATTTTGATTATATCGAATTCTATTTACTTCTTCCGATGTGACATAAATCACAGGCAAAAAGTTACTTGATATATTTTTCCCGCGAGTCTGCCGAGTTTTCCCTAGTATCAGAATTCTTTCATTAAAAAAGAAAAGAAAAAGAAGACAAAAAAGGAGGAGAGGAAAGAGGAAGGATAACAATGATTTTCCCCATTAACGGCACGGGATTCCGTGGAAATGTGTAATGTGACGACGATCGATCGAATTGATAGAAATGGAGGAGAATCTTGTGAATCCGAAATGAAAAAAAACGATAGCATTTAGTCGTGCATACAAGATAGCGGAGCGCAACGTATGTACGTAAGATTGCAGCTCGTAGATTATTTGTAGTCGTTGCCATTGAGATGGTTTGATAGTAGCCCCTTCCCCGCGTACCTTTATATCGAGACTGAATGGACAGAGAGAGCAGCCTCCTCTATGAGATAATACGCCTGGTTGTACCTAAGTCATTCAGGCCCGAAGTCGGATCCATCGAATCGCGAAAGATCGCGCGAGGTGAGGGTGGACACCGTGGCCCCTGCAGTCATGCTCACCATACAAAACGAGTGAGTATATCGGTTTGCATGCGATTGAGTAGCTACACGATACTTCGGCTGCATCGATGCATCCGTGGATATCTTCCACTATCGTGCTTTTACCTCCTCTAGCTTTTCAGAAATCGCTGCCGTACCGATGCTTCCTGCTTCGAGCTTTTGATCATGGTTTCAGGGGTCGTCGGTCGATTCGTGACTTTTCAACAGTTACCAAGCTTATGCAGCCGAGGAATAAGCAAATATTCTCTGGCTAAATCGAGAACAGCAGGCTTCCCCTTGACGATTTCTTGTCCAAACTTTTCACTCCCGTAATTTCCTTCGTTTTATTTTTATACGCGTCGTTGTTCATGCTTGCTAAACGAATTTACTTTTCACTTATCTAAAAGTTTGGTACTCCACGTACTTAATATCCAAGCATATGCACTTTAAGAAAATTCCACTTGTTAATTTCGACTTTCCCCTTCCGCAGAGGAGAATCTTCTTTTTACACGAAATAAAGCAGCGTCGCCTAGCTCAATGCATTCATCTACTCTTTAAACTTCCTTTCAGCGATGGAAGAATCATACTCGACTACCTTCTTTGTTGATGGATTTATGGTTTCGTGGTGATTATGCGGTTTAACGATAGACCTCATAAACCAGTACGTGGAAAGCCTCAGAAGTAACCGATTACGTGGCTTTGCGATTATACGATTTTCGATAAGTTAGTTCCTTCATAACCGGTATATCGAATAACGATATTTCAACCCAGCCATTTACCGATAATCCTACTTTTTTTTTACAGGTTCCCATAAAATCTAGCAAATCCTTATTCCAAGTTGTACATCTATTCTGGCCTTTTAATCTCCGTCACTCGACAAATTTCACGTAAATCATGGATCCATTTAGAGTCATTCATAAGTTTTGAAGTTTTAGTAGAGTGTAAATCGTTTCACGAGGTTTCGCTTATAGCGTAACACGACATACGCAATTATAAAGGTGCGGTTCCGAGTAGATACCGTGATGTGGTTCTTCGAGTCGACGTGGATTCCCTTTACATCGTGTGTAGTAACATGGCAATAAACCACTACAGTAACGGTGCATAATCTAATGGTGGGTTGCCTCCTACGACAAGTATGGGACAGGCTTGCACCATGCCTCCCTGTGGTTCATTAATTGCAGCTTGCTCTCTCGACTAGCATGGCGTTATTCCGATCGTCCAAGCGACAACAACAACTAGGGGTTGGAAGGGAAAGCCTCGTTACACGTATCTGCAACATGTCTACATTCTCGAAGGAAACCTGTAGGAGGCTATGAGCTTTCTTTGTTACGGATCCCTTTTATTCTTCCAGTTTCTTCCTCGATGAGGACGTTGATCGACCATCGTGTCTGATAATAATAATTCATGCGTGGATCGAGTTTCCTCCACTTCGATTCTGCTTTGCACAATGCATGGGAGTCTTTATATTGGAATTCGCCCGAATTCATGAAAGATTCCAAACTATGTTACAGGTTACTATGCAAAATTTATAGTAGAAGCAATCTACGACGAGAGCAGTTCACAAGATTGCTTCCTACATTCTTCCCTCGCTTTATGCGATCGTTTTTCTCTGTTCAACGTACAGTTTGACATATTTTCTTTGAGGCACAGTACCTATTCCTGGCATCGAAGTTTTTGTTCTCCATTAAACATATATCTAATACATGTACAGGTGAATTTGTCTTTCTCCTGGTCTCTTGAGCCTCGTTGCTGTTCTCTGTCAATAAGTGCTTCGCGTGATGCTTTCGTATTTGTTCGAATTAATACTCAATTCACTTGCAGTCGTTTGCAGGAATATGTATTGTGAAGTATTGCTTAAGATGTTGGATAATAGCTCGTCTATAAATTTTTACACCGACGAGTTTTTTGTTAGAAGGAATTTTTACGAAAGAGACAAGCCTGTGACCTTTTCCATGGTCCATTTGACTCGAATCATCCTTATCGTTATTTCCGGAAATTAAAGAAACTGCAGAGAGTGTAATAACAGTATTGTGGAAGCTTTCCACCCTTAAAGATTTGATTTCACGGCAGTTAGTTTCATTGTGTGCAAAGTTTAGAGAAAGAAAAGGGTCTTACGGTCTTAAACTTACTTGGCTGTTGTGAGACTATTACCTTGTATTCAGAGAACAACAGGCAATGCGCGTCAGCGACGATCATTTTGTTCAGGCTGCGGTTTACGGAAGTCAGCTGTAAGCAATGTTTCTCTGTTGCTGTTCTATCGCGCGTTCTTCGATGGTTAAACGTTGTTTCCCGATCCTGCGAATTAATTGAATCGAAAGATGCATCGAACTGGAAAAGCAAACCGGAGGGGAAGAGAAGCTTTAATGCACATCCCGTGTTTTCATACTGAACTATCGTTCGTAGTCTGCGTTTCGCAGCGAAGAAGATAAAAACAAATCGCCGCGATTGCAAGCATTTGGTTAGAGATCAAAAAGGTGGGAGTAGACTTACTAATTTGTGTCTGACGGTATACTTGTGACAATCAGTCTACTATTCAACCGTTCGTTCGATCCTCTCCTTAGACGCTTGATTTTCTTTCATGATGTACAGAGGAAAGACACGTGTATCAAAGGAGTCGCTCGTGCACGCCGATGTCAAAGGCTTCCTTTCTTCTCGAGGCCATCCCCGTTCATTATTCGTTTGCTCGATTATTTAGTTTCCCTAGCGAATTAGGAGGAAACAAAGGTAGCCTGTGGCATTGAAAAGTCATCAAAAGATGCATATATCGTAATCGAGCGTTAAAAGGACACGACACGAACGACATGTATATTTTTATGCATAGGCAAAGAAATAATTTGGAAAAATAAATTGATATAAATTCGTACAGGATAAAACATCGATATGTGATAGTTCGATAGTCAAAAGCTCAACGGATATAGTGACATTTTGTCAGCCATTAAATTCGTGGCCTCGTATCGAATTATACACAAGCGCAAGAGTAGTGTATAACGTTGCACGCGCACGCTGGTGTAGAACTACTCGTAATCTACTCTCACAGGTTAGCTCTTGTGTGTCGTGTAGTTGAGCGTAAATAGTCTTCTTTTAATGTAGTTAAGTGTAAAATAGCTTGCATAGTTTAATTACAATACTTGCCCCGCTTGCAGCGCGTACACGCACGCTCACTTACACAATCATCGTTTCGTGTTCAAAAACGTTTCAATGCGTATATGCATGTTCTGCACCTGCCATTAACCAAGGCGTTATACCATCAACGATGCTCCTTTAGACGAAAAATCGAATATCGTGCGTGACATGGGAAGGCATCACGGAATTTTTAATTGATATTTTTCATTAGTATTGTTCTAATGAAACGCACTATGCTGTCTGTCGTAGTTACTGTATTGTTGTGATCACGATCAAAGTAAATGACTCGCTTTCGGCTAGGAATTCAGGGAAACGGTGAAATTATTTCAGCATGTCACCGCGTAATGGCTCGTGCGTGGCGGAAGTAAGCTCGGTGAGGAGTCTCTCGTCGGACGATGTCTCGGCGACGAAGACGAACCGAAAGAAGTCCTGCTGGACACGTGCCACGAATCCGGCTCATCGCCGTGGACGACGAATTCAACTGCTACAAATGCTGGCGCTACCATTCATACCGATCCTAGCGTTGATCGTTCAGACAGCTAACACCCTCCATGACATTCTGATCTATCGGCAGGAGGTCTCTGACATTGAAACGCAGGTAATCTAGGGGCTAGATGTTTCTTAAACCAAATATTTTATTCGCGCCGTGGATTAGTTTTCTAAACTTTCGTAATTGTTTTTTCAATTCACCTTAAGTTTTTCTAAATTCATCCGAGATTTAAGATCACGTAAATTTATGGATCGGAAAGTAGCATTTCTTAACATTCGTTTTTTCTCGGAATACACATAGTGGCGTAGTATTACGTACGATTAATGGTAATAATCGATCAACGAACTATCCAACAGTAACGAAGGAGTGAGTAAATATGCACCACACCTACGTACTCATTCTTTCAAGCGTGGTCGATGCATTCTACATCCATTTCTTCAATTGTTCCAACAAAAAAGGCATATAAGTCATGATAACGTATCGGTTTGCAAACCCTTTGCCTATAATTTACAATGATTTTTAATACCTTTATAGCGGAGTAACTTCTCAAAAATCGATTACGCACACTTGTTAAATGGGGGACATAAATTGCGTGGCATTGCATGTTGCACTGGGGATGACTGTCAACTGTTATTTATCGTGATTCCAAGGATTCCATGCGTTTATCAAAAATGGTCGGAAATATTTTTCGGTGTGGGGTTATCTACACTGAAAAATATCGGATATACAACTGTTCTGTTTACACGAAAAATACGATGTAATTTAGGAAATTTTTATCTCTATTCCCTGGTATTCTATCCGCCATACCGCGTTGCGCTCCTTCTAAACGGATAAGAGTCTCCTTACTGCAGAAGATGATTATCAAATCGGTATAAATCCTTTTATGGTTGACCCCGATTCTTCATTTTCCGGCTCAGTACCTTCTTTAATACATATTCGTTTTCCTTAATGCCGGTCACGCTAAATTTTAACGAGACTCATTGCCAGTTCTACATGAAACGTAGTAATATTCAATTTTTGGCGTTAATATTTGTTCGATAGCGAGTTCAATAATCACGCCATGGCTTACACTGGTTGATTACCAATGCTCGTAATCGATACTTGAGTTTCTAATCAATCTGTTTTTTAAAGCGATTCTTTCGATTGGCATGTTGTTGGTAAATTAAAACGGTGCACAGTAACGAATATTGCGCGTCGAAGCTGGTGTTTCTCTCTCAATATACTGATCGGCGAGAGAACATATCCAGAGGCATGATCGCCTTCTCAGGGGGAATTAAAATGCGTTAATAAGTTTTTTTATGGTACGATCGGTGACAGTGTTCTTTAGGAAAGGATACTTTTTCGTTCCGATTCGTTAGTCGTCAATATCGATCTATCGATTACGTACCATCAACGATGATATTTTCTATTGTGATGTAAATAACTAGCAATAGCCCATTCTATCATAACACAATACATTGGTCATCAACAAGGGTACATAGGTATTGTTTCATGGTGCATCGAGTTTTTCACAATGGTTCTTCATACAGAACCGTATTGTTACCAGTAAACGATCGATCCACAAAAATGGAATTCCAGTTAATGGAGGAGTCAACAACTCTTTTACTCTTTTATTTCGTCACAACTATAAAAACATATGGCGTGCAATATTTTCGAAACAGACCCGAAAAATTATTTGAACTTCCCTCCCCTTTTTCGAGTTTCGATTCTTGTCTTCCATGAAATCAAAAATCTTGTCAACAGAGAAGCCGATCGTTACATAAGTAATCGATAATGGTTAATTAAAGATACGATTTTCATTTCGTAAAATATTATATGCTGACAAATAATTTTCATACAATACCCGTCTTTGTGGCGGGTATTGTATATCGTGAGACTTTAAATATGCGTTTGATGTAGATCGACATAAAATATTTGTTCATAGTTCCGTGATTTTTAGTTCACATGCCAGTCGATACTATACATAATCTAGATACATGCCGATTAAGATCCACGCCGTACGCAGTGAACATGTCAATTCTACCCTTAGCTGTCGTCGAAAAAATTTCCATACTAGAATGAAGTAACCTCGCCTGGTTCTTGGATGATCATTATTGTAGCGTAGTACTGGACAAGTTGACGAAGAAGGAGAGTGGTAGATCCGATCGAAATTTATCGAAACGGGGTGTAGTCTCGAGTGCACCGTTCGATCTTGAGTTACTTGTTTGACGAACACGGTGGCGTGGCATGAGGAAAGGCAGAAAAGAATGGACGCATTCTCCTCCTTGCTTGTCCTCGTCCCTATCTTCATCGTTCCCAGTGTTTGCTGTCGTCCTGCTAAGCGTGTCGAGAGTTTTATACTCGTTCGCGTTGCCGCTCTGCCACGCCCTCCATAATTAAAACCTATAGGAAAACCGAAGAGAACGAATTTCATTTGCCTTTTAAAGTCATCGCCCTTTTCTTATACTTTGTTGATAAAAATTAAATTGTTTATGATACCACGGAATGATTAAATTTGTTTACGGAGAGATCATTTTTTTGTATAACGACCTCAATTTCACTTTTAGAAGTGCGTGTTATAGAAAAGAGAAGCTTTCGGAATTTTTAATAATTTCGCAACTTTTAATCCACGATGGAGATTATCGTGACGGAGATTCAGTATTCAGTCAATACAGTCGGAGAACGTCTGTTGTCGCGATTAATCCTGACGTACTGGCTATAAAACGTTAGTATACCAGACCTGCAAACCTGACATTATTTCGTTCGAATTTCCCCCATTCTCGATGAACGAATGTGTCAACAACACTCTGTACATTATTGAAAATTGTTAGATGGCACTGAAAACGATAAAGATTAAATTAATTTTAGAGACTCATCGACTATTCATTATTATACATTAATCGAGAAATTCCAACGTCCATTCGTTTTATAATGTCGCTTCTTCGTATCCTGAAATGTGAAAAAGAGGCGGTATTTCACCATCATTTTTTGCGACGCTTTATCACGACAGCCGATCTATAATTGCTGAAATGCTGTATGAAACGTAGAAGCGTCGCAAGTATAACAGAAGGCCATTTAGGTACTTAGTAGTTCGAGTGACCAGACAATGTGTACCTAAGAGGTATTCACTCGCCCTATTCTGTCCACTTTGTCCTTCCCTTACGATTAGTTTCATCTCCTTCCGGAAGTTTCACGAGCTCGGCGGCAACATTGACAAGGCTTTGGTCTTCATGCATTTTGATATTTTAATTGTTCAGCGATATAGGTACGGTAATACACTATGTAATAATTTTTAAGAGGATATTTGGTCCTCGATGTTGTCACGTGTTTGCAACTTCTTCTAATAATTTGTTTATTTTTTATTCTTTTCTTGTCAAACGTTGATTGATTATGGTTCTTAACTTTTTACAGGTAACAATCGCCACAGATTTAGGGAAGGTTGTCACGCGGATGCAGCTCGAAAGATCTGAGGTTGCATTCTTTATTTACACTAATGGCAGCACTCTAAGGTATTATCATGCAGCCTGTTATTAAGCTTTCTCTTGAATCAATATCAAAGATATACGATTTGAATTTGTGTTGCAAAGTATCATACGAAATGCATTAGATTCGTACACGATGCTGTACAATCGTTTTACTGTTCAGCAGAAGCCTTTAAGATCGCTTGATCTTTCGGTATACGTGACTTAGTGACAAAAGCTATTTGTCCAAAGAGGAGGAACCCTTTAACGTACAGGCCAATGAAAACAGATGAGCAAGCAGGATATCCTCTAATCAAGGCACCACAGACGCGATACACTTTTCTTAGCATTTCGAGAAAACAGTCGCTCCACAGAATGCGAAAACAGTCTTCGACCTAAATAGTTTCCAATCGAAATAAAGATTCACGCCAGGGGAATTATAACGAGTACAGAAATCACATGAGATTAATCTAAACGATTTTCTAAATCTTAATTTGCTTTCGATTTGTTCTTATTGGTATTCGTAAATTCAAGGTTTCAGCGATTAGAGTCGCATGATCGGTGAAACGTGACATATTGACCTGACCCTTCCGCTTCGATTCTTTGATAGAACTGAGGGAAACTCTGTAAAATATTAACGAAATTTCCCTGGTAAAAATAATTCCATAATCCTTCAGGAACGTCTCGGCTTTGTGAATGGCAACGCGAACTAAAACAAATAAATAACCACAGCCTCTCCGCCAATTTATCGACGCAGTACTAATACGCCATGGTCTCTTGCGTCTGTTGAAGGTCGAACTTGACGCAGAGGTTCGCCATAACCGATCAAGCTCTTCATAACATGACTACGTGGCCCCTGGTCTCGGTACCGAGGGATGAGAGCAAGACGCAAACCTATGACGTGGTCAGCAAAGAGGCCTTCCAAGCACGCCTCGAGGATTTCAGGTAAGGAATCGATTAGCAAATACTCGACACCGGCCCTCTTTACTCCAGACAGAATCCACGTGCATCACTAATGACGTCAGAAGATCCGTTATGTGTCTAATGGCTTTTACCTGAATTACCATAACTTCCTTGACGTAATCGATTAAACAATAACGATTTTCTTCATCCTTGGCTTCAACATCTCTTTTGGCAACCACTGCTAAATTAAGCTGTTGGAAATTTAAAGCGGAGGATCTGATTTAGTCATTCGCGATGTGTCAAAGGGGAAGATTATTTTAAAGCTGATAGCAAGATAAAAAGGATTTAATGGAAGTATACTCGCGCATTTCTGATGTTAGTCTTTGTCTTAGCAACATATGATTATATGGAAAGTTACAGCGCAATCCTCTATTCCCTCCGGTCTCCGTTCCGACACTTGTTGAATTTCCATTCAACCTCGAAGTGGACAATTTTCCTCTTCCGCGTACCTCTCCTTGCAGCTCGATAATATAAGAACTTCCTTTTTCGATATCCGATCAATCCAGTATTTTGCTTTTAACGCTCGTAAATTTTCATTTCTATTATAATCTACGATATATGCAACAATAATTAGTACTCATTAGCAAAAATAGAATTGAAGAAATTTTAATAATATTAATAATTTAGACATGATACATGAAACATGATGCGATAAAAATAGCGATATTTTAACGTTAATATCGCGTGTATATACATAAAATAAGAAAAAATGCTGATACATCAAGCGATACGAAATTTCACCAATCGATCATATTTCCCCTGTTCGTGTCGCATAGAATATTAGGGTATTAAAATTATTCTACACCTACAAATACAGCATGTGATATTACAATAGTAGATATTACTCGATCATCTAATTAGAAGGGGAGAGCCAAAAGGTGCGGCAAAGATAATCCGCATGGTGTGGAACGTATGGTAAAACGGTGTATGCTTTTATAATAGCACCGTCGTGTCGCATTTGTCTTGGTATATCGATCGATTATAAAAATACGTAACCAGGATCCAGTTTTTCCAAGACCGAGTCTAAGACGAGCGATCGCTACATCTCGACGAAAAAAGCAAATAAGCATTCCATTATCGAAAATTTATTAACTTTCGTTTTCTTCGAACTATCGTGTCATCGATATCTATGTTAAGGTTGCCAAGATACAAAAATAAGATTACATCTCATTGCATCTCAACGGGAACACGATGAAATGACATTAATATGCGAATACAAGAATATTTACAGAAGACATGTTTTTCATTCTGTCGAACTGAAAACGACGGGAGGCTCCGTTACTGGGTACCCGATAAATCGATAGAAGCCCAAGAGTCAAAGTATCCGTTATGAATAATTTCCACCCGTAGTTCCCAAAATTGATTTGTTATACAAAGACATGAAAACTCGTGAAATTTGAATAAAGATTGATCTACGATATCTTCTTACAAAATATCGAGAAGAGATTAAGGAAAGAATTAGATTTAGAGCCTTAGTAATAACACATTACTAATCTATCCCACGAACGATACTAATTAAGGGCGTCATATTTCCCATATAAATTATGTAGGACGACGTGTTAATGTAGTGGAAATTTCCCATTCTACGTGACCGCAAATGTACATTGTTCTCATGTAACAATTTTCGAAGCTCGTTAATAACCGACAGATATTATATCAACCCTTATTTATTTCATTTTCCATCTACCTTCATTGTACAAACAATTTCTGTTACAAATTCTTGTCGAATATTTAAAAAAAATATATATTTTCCGACATTTTGTATAAAAAATTCTCTAGGACCCGAAAGAGAGTTTCGATTAAGGAACAAACTAATCGAAGAATATGAAGGATTTTGATTTCTTGCAGTACCAAAACGGTTTCTAGGCATCTAGAAATCGGATTCTAGGCATTCTTGTATAGGAAATTCTCCATTGATCGACTCGAGGGTTTGTGGTTTTCGCGTTGGCTATTACACGAACATATGTCAGATAATAGAACGCATTTCTGTCAGCGGGAGCACCGGTAACAAGCTGCTAACAATCCTTTTCTTTTGCCAGCGAAGATATTATGTGGCTGACAAAGATGACGAGGAGGAAAAGGATCCGTGTTAACTCGATTTCATCGAAGACGAAATGACACAGTTCGATTCTCGATGTTCTATTAATCTTCGGCTTGTCGATCCATCAGTTGTCAACCGAATTAATTAGGATAGCTATTTAAGTGATTATTTTCAATGTACTAACTAGCTTCTATCGTCATGGCTAGTCTCATCTCGACCAATTAACGATCTAATGACATTTGTTTCATACTGCATCCGTGCAACGGAGGCTGCAACATGTAATTGAACTATCGACAACTTCTGAAACAACAATTAGTCGCATAATTTGCAGTGATTGCTAAATGCTGTTGGGTATTAATTAAGGAAAGTGTGCAAACTGAAAAATTCTTGCTAATCGTAAATATTAGAACCCTTACTTGTTTCATTTATTGGAAAACTCAAACAAATTGTACTTTATTTAGTACCTCACATTACCTAAAGGGTAATGGTACTTTTAGGAGTTGAAACAGATGGCTAAATCTAAATTCTCAAAATCTTGATTTGCGTTACCATACCTATAACAGGCAGTCTAAGTACTCACTCGTTTAGAATACTAATGTTTAAGGAAGTTTGAGGTTTGTACCCCGTATAGTGGATGTTCGCGTCTCATTAAAATGTCAAATGAGAATAACACACAAGTACGGAGCTGTAATAAATTGGCTCAAAGAAATCGTACGTCATTTTTCCTCTTTCGCTCCTCGGCCTTCTCTGTCGAACTACCTTTATGAGCAATGGATGAGGTTGTCACACATGAGCGCGTGACCGCCCATTTGGAGCAGTAGACAATATTTTTAGACCCCTCTGCCCACCTCCCTCTTTCCACTTCTCCTCTGCTTTCTCTTTGCCGTTCTATGACTATCATGTCTCTGACTAAAAGCCCACTTCGATACAACGAATACCTCCACTATCTGTCGACTCGATTCAACTTTCCTCTGCCACGTATCTCTCCTTAACAAGAATCTCTGTTCAGAGTTCCGTTCCCATTCATTACTCATGATAGTCGTACATTCTACTATGCCTAATGAATTGAGAGAAAAGTAGGGAATTCTGTGAAAGAGAAAATATTGTCCAGCAATAAAAGAATTCGGAAAATCGATACAACCCGTACTTGTTAGGTTTCATCCTTAAAGCGTCTATAAGAAACGATGGATACACCATCATTCAATTTCTAACCTATGGAAAGTGGGAGTTAGCCGAGTCTGAGTACAAAGTTTTGTTCATTTCTCAGGCAGAAGATAAGTTCAGAAGAGAGCAGCATTACCGAAGTGATGGCGTGGTATACGAGCGTAAACGCGGCGATGTTAGACCATCTGACTAATCAGATCAAAGAGACGGATAATAGTGGAGTTTGGAGGTAAAGAAAAAATTTTATCGTTGACATTATCGTAAAACACACCGAGCACGTGTACGTCACATACACATTTCTCGTAAAATATCAATATTATTACATTTCTTTAGTAACATGAGACAGAAAGTATAAGGGGAGGGTAGATAACTTCAGGATTCAGTTAAGTAAATCAATTTTTCAGTTAACAGAAAGAAAGTTTATAAAAGTGGGATAGAGAGTTGTAAAGTGCATCGAGTTTCTCGAAGCTTTTCGAAAATAAAAATCAATTTTAAAGTTCGTAACATAGTAAAATTTGTCTTTTTTCCTTTTTATATATGTATATATGTTGACGATTCAAGAATTACGTAAAAAATATTTGAATTCGCGCAATTGGACATATCTCGGCACATTTCAGGTATCTGATTGCTTTTAAAAATTTGCTGAAGAGTATTGAGAGCTTGGGTATTTCTTCCGTGTACGGAATCAATTACTTTGGACGTGGAACCCTTGTGGGGGACAATTACGTCAGCTACGTTCGCCACGATATTCTTGGACGTGATCTCCTCTCTGGATCTCTCACATACGTGCCTTCTCTCAAACATTTTTACGCAGAACTCACCAACTCCATGTCAGACTATGGAAGAATTAAATCTAGGTATGCAACGACCATATTAAGAAAACTATTTAAAAGAGCAAAAAAAAAAAAAAGAGAGAGAGAGGGAAGAGGCTTTTTAAGTCTAGGCAAACTTTCGACTTGTCGAACAGCTAGAAAAGACTTTCAAAATATAAGCGTAACTTCTATAATAGAATGAATGAGTGAAAAGTTGGAACGTCGGCGTATAAAATGCATGAAATAAGGGAGAAAGGTTTGTTTGGAAAACATACATTACAGACGAGATGAAATCCTCCAGAACCAGAAGAGGAAACCGAGTGTTGATGATGCTATCGCTTATTTCGATTCAATGGCTACTTATGTGGATGAGCTGCGTAAACTTCAACGAGAATTACGTCACATGATCCGGTAAATCTTTATGAGAGTAATGGAAAAATATAGTTTTTATATGATAACTTGAATAGTGTAATTGTAATTGAACAGGGATTATGTGAATTCAACTTTACAAGATGCGAGTAACAAAGAAGTTGCTGGGATAGCTATACTCGCACTAGTATTGGTCGTTTCTCCTATCATTATAATGCTAGTACGTAATGCGGTTGCGACGATACAAGTAAGTAAATACACATATTTACTTGATATAGTATTTATATAATTGATTCCTTTCATAATTGTAATGTAATTAGGTTTAAACTTCAATTTATTTATCTGCTTGTAACGTTTGGAAATATTCAATGTTCCAAGCGAAAGAAGTATTTTATTGGCTGCAGCATCGACAATTTCAATTAAGTGATGTGTACTTCTGTTCCTTTCAATCGAATACCGATACAACGGTATAATTCTTTTACTTCGCAATATAGCAAGATAATGAAATTAAAGACTTTCATCACCGCTTGATCTCATTCTTTTTAATCCTCACCGCCATTAACGATTCTAATGGGTGATAAACCGATTCCGTATGCGTTGGTAATTAGATGTTTCGTTGGAATATTTTAGATGTACGCAGCCAATTTAGCGCAAAAGGCTCGGGAACTGAAGCAGGAAAAAGGGAAGAGTGACACGTTGCTTTTTCAAATGTTGCCTCCTAGCGTCGCACAGCAATTGAAGCAAACTCAACAGGTAATTAACAATTGCGTTTGAAAAATATTACGTTGTTGATATACAAACGTTTCCTTTGTTCCGCAGGTTCCAGCGGAATATTACGAAGCAGTAACCGTATACTTCAGCGATATTGTTGGGTTCACAGAAATTGCTGCGGAGAATACTCCCTTAGAGGTAAAATTCTTCCCTACCATGTATAAAATTATCCTCGATTTATCTGTACTTTAAATTATTACGCTTTTCCAGGTTGTCACTTTTCTAAATTCGATCTACAAGTTATTCGATGCGCGTATCGAATGTTACGACGTGTACAAAGTTGAAACTATTGGCGATTCATATATGGTCGCCTCTGGCTTGCCTGTTAGAAATGGTGAAATCCTTTCCTACACAATTTTGTTGTTTAAATTTTACTTATTATAATATAATAAAAAAATTTATGACACGAAATTTTAAAGGGGACAAACACGTATCTGAAATAGCGACAATGGCCCTCGATCTTCTAGCAGCTTCATCGGTATTTCAAGTACCAAAGCGGCCCGGTGAACGTCTTCAAATACGAAGCGGTGCTCATACAGGGCCCGTAGTTGCTGGAATCGTGGGAAGCAAAATGCCCCGTTATTGTCTCTTCGGGGATACTGTGAATACGGCCAGTCGTATGGAATCAACTGGGGAAGGTATCTCATCAAGTTCCTTATTTTCTTTTTGGTATTAAACGCATGTTTTTCTACAACTTAATTTTAATTTTCATTTGTTTTATACGAAGCGCTACGAATACATATTAGCCTAGAAATGAAAAAAGCTTTGGATGCAGTAGGAGGTTTCAAAATCGCACATCGCGGTTTGGTAGATGTCAAGGTAGATATTTTATGTAAAATTTATAATCGGACAACGCCCTTCAATGAAATTAATTTCGTAGGGGAAGGGATTAATGGATACGTACTGGCTGGAATGCAAAGACGGCGGAATCGCACGGGCAGCGGAATTAGATCTGCCCTCGTTCTTCGAAGATGTGCGACCAGTTTTCATACGCCGTTTACGCGAAGAGGGTACCCTTTGATGCGAACCGTATTCCCGACGGGACCTCTGGTACCTGAACCGACCACCTACTCCTTACATCCGTCTTTCGCAACCCAACCTTATCGACCACTTAAAGAAACCCACTCAAGGTCGTAAAAACCGACTGTCTCATCCGAATCTTCATATTACTCCCGTGAAACCACCACCTCAATCGCAGTCCAGTATCGAGTCTCAGGACTCCGTGACATACGAAGGAACTCAATCAACGACACCTTGCCCACCGAGTTATTCTCCTGCGAGTCAACGAAGTCGTTATTCGCAACCGAATCTACCCACTCTTCTGATATCCCATGACAAAAGATCCGGAGGTTCGGCCGACCGCCGTATAAGAATGTCTCAACCTACGTTGAACTTGAGCTTCAGCGGTATCAATTTTGTCGGAATGAATCGTAGCTCTAGATTGTCTTACACAAGTCTTAAAGCAGCTTCCGGGGATAATAGTATTAATGAAGAAGAGAGATTATCAGCACGAAGCGCGCCGTTCGGCGGAGGAAGCTCGAGAGGAAGCTTAACGATGGATCAAGGTACCTCGAGATTGTCTCAACCGGACGTAACAAGATTTATCTTGCGTCAGGATGTACCAGGGAAACGAGATCGCCTTTCTCAATCCACTTTAGTTATCGGTGATTACCATCCTGGTCGTGGTCAACAGAGATTATCTCAACCTTGCCTAAGTACAGGGAAAGATCTCAATTTACCCACAATGGTTTTCCATTCTCCCTCTCCACCGCCTACCAAGCATAAAAGATTTTCTCCTGCCATACACGCTAGCCAGAGGGATCGTCTGTCGCAGTTGGACATTGGTGCTAAATATAGGAACTTCAAGGAGTCGGCTGTGACGAAATTTAATCGAGATAGATTTTCAATACCGGAACTAGAGACGCAAAACGATCTTAGATTAATAGCAGGCACGCCGAAGCAAAGATTTAGTTTGGACAGTCAACTGACACGTAATCAGGATGTGACTCGGTCCAGACTATTACCGATAGCTAGTTCACCTATCAGTGAACACCAGCAACCTAAGATCGACGAACAAGTAGGAATTCCTGGAGGTAAACTCAAAAGTCCCGCTAGAGAAGGCCTTGGAAGTGTACTTGTGGCAAGCACAACTCCGATCCTACCATCAAGCGAAAGACAATTATTATCAGCTGAATTAAATAAAATAACGACTGCAATTGCTTCGACACCACCAGCTACAACACAACAGAAGAGTCAGACGACGCTTAGGACAAGCAAACTTCACAGATCAGTCTCACCGATTCCTAACAGGGAAAGAATGTCGGTGCCCGAAATAAGGAATTCGAGTCTGCGTCGATTGCTTGATCCGCCAACAAGGCAAAGACACAGTATTACAGGCAATCTGAGGCAGAGTATAATTTCTCCGATCAAACCTCTCGACTTTGGCAGAAAGTCACCGAAACATTTATTCGAGGAGGCTCTGGAAAGATTTCGCAAGGATGAGAAAGAAGAAAATCGGAAGAACGAAATTTCGAATTCGGAAGCTCTTATCGATATTGTTGATGAACCTAAACATATTCAGAAACATTACTCGTACACGTACGAAACAGATGACAATTCCTCGATACTTGGAAAAATAAGCATGTCCGCGATACCGAAGAAGAAGTATTTAGAAAGTAATTTTGATGAAAACGAACAGGTAATCACTACGGTGATAGAAACAGACGTACCAATGATTATAGCCAATCCAAAGTACGTGAAGAAATCGTCTTACTCGAGCGAGACCCCGAAGTGGATTAGAAAGTATTTAGAAAGCGAAAGTCCAAAAGTAGGAAGAAAGACGACGAGCAACAAAGAAAAGTCTAACAGAAGAAATAGTCGAAGGAAAAGCTCTTTGGAATCGGTGGAAGGCGAGAAAATTACAGATAAAGTTCGTTCGAAGTCGGTGAGTAGCGGTGAAAGGAGTCCGATGCTGAAGAACACCGGCATACAGTCCGAATTGAAGAACATGAAGAACACGTACGTAAGAATTCTCCCCTCGAATAAAATTCAAGAGAACAAGTATGAAGTAAAGGTAGATAACAACTGGATCGATGGAAATATTCAGGGACTGTATGGCGATGAATGCGACGATACGGATTCCGATGATTCCACGTCCATTTAAATTGAACTAACGATACTAATCATAACGATAGAATAGATAAAACAAGAAAATTTTATCCAACTAATCTATGACATTTATAAATTGATGCAGTGAGAGATTAACAAAAATTTCGTATTCTGTACTTAAACCATTCAAACGGTATCAATTTTATGAAAATTAATATTTTCAGTAGTTACCAATCAAAGACCATTTTAATAGGTAACAGTTTGATTAGCCTAAAGCACACTTTGAGAACGAAATAACGAAAACTGACATGCTGATCTCAAATATTTTCCCATATTGTTATTTACACCATGAACTAATAATTGCGACCGATAGAAATCAACTGGAAAAAGATTTATATTTATGAAGACAACTTTTGGATTTCTATGTATTATTTTCATTCGAATCAAAGAGTGTTGTTTCTATCCGAATAAAATTAAGATAACTTGTAAATACTTGAATTATATTCAATCATGCTTACTACAAAATGCATAGCTAACAAATTTTAGAGGAATTCCAAACACCGGTTTCTATTTTATTTTCGTTATTCATAATTCGTGTCTAAAACATAAAAGTTTTTAACGCTTACTGCTGTGAATGAAAAGTCAATGAAAGCATATTCTAGCTACTGTTAGCACGTCAGATACATAAACCGTATGAAATGTACATTTTCTCGTCAATATACCACCGATATTAAATTCCCACGATTTTACAGTATGAGTGTTGGAAAATTTATATTTTCTTTTTTTTCTATACTAGTCAACAATGAGACTCACGTGTGAATGCCATCTCAAATTCCTATTAAATTTCAACCTTATAAAAATAATCCAAATGGCTCGTTCTTCGCATGAACGTTACATTATATATTGATATGTACTGCAATGTTATGATATTATAATGGTAAAACGTAATCGATGTAATGTTATAATATCGTAAACTCGGAATGAATGTAATATTGCGGTCATGAATGTGAAAATTAGTTACTGTTTATCGTAAACATAAAATGTTAGTTCTTTATGTATGTCATTTAGTATATAATTAAAAATGTTATACCAAAGATGTAACCAAAGTGAAAAGTATATAAAATGTATTTAATTTTTAACAAATATGAGTTCGGCATATCTCATATTTTCAAAAAGGAAGATGAATGAAATTCATGAATTATAAAATATTTCATCATATTCTTGCTAAAATCCATATATTATTATAAAAATTCCTGTACGTACATCAAGTGGCATTTTATAATCTCTTCCCAAAACTTGAAACATACATGCAAGAAATTTTATCTGAACAACACAATAAATATGCATCACGTGTATTGCAGAACATACAATACTCTAAATTTACATATCCATATTATTTTGAACACAGAGTGCCTAAATTTTGATCATTATATTATGATTATTCAATTCTTTTTTCATTATTGAAAGAAGTATACATCCATTTAAATCTAATCCTTTATAAGAAATACGTCATTTTCTTAACATGTACTTGATAAAAAAATAAAGCTAGATCGTGAAAACGTACATAAATTGCGGTTTCAAATACAAAAAAGCGCCATCAGATAACAACTTTATTGTGAAGGCGATGTTCCTTTAGGCACGGCATAGAACAGAAACGATTGGAATTATACTCAAAAGGCACTTGACCTGCCATATTCACACCACATTGAAAGCATCGTGAAATTATGGTGCACCCTTGGTTTAAAATACGTTGCTCTGCAGCCAAAGCTCTCTGTGATAGAAACGTTTAACGATTTAATTTATTAGTACTAAATAGCTGTACAATTAATCTTTAAAATATGTACCTTTTCTCTGTCACTAAGACTAAGATATCTTTGCTTTGTATCTTCTTCTTGTTTTTTAAGTTCAAATTCTTTTCTCTTCAATTTATCTTTCTCCCGTTTTATTTTTCTTTGTTGTCTCTTTTTTTCTAATTCCTCTTGTTCTATTTCATCAGTAAGTGGGCCAGGTATTTGAGACTTTATAACAAACACATATAATTTTATACGTAATAATAACATCTTAATAAATGAAAGATAGAGAAATATATAGTAAATACTTTGCTATAATTGAACTTGTCAGGATAAGCGCCCATAAATCTTCTAAAAGTATTTCTGGTTTCCTTATCATTTGCCGCAGCATATGGTGTTTGTAGCTTCTTATTTTTATTGCAAGGATCTGATCCAATTTCTAGTAATTGCCTAAAACAGGTAAACTTGATAAAAATTTTGTGAAACAAAACAATAGTTACATCAGCATACATAATTTCTAACTACTAATATACCACACTAATTTCAAGTGTCCACCCAAAGCTGCTACATGTAACATCGTATTACCATCTTCATTAGCATCATTTACCAATTTCTTCACATCATCTTTGTGTACAATTGAATTAAAATCTACAGTTACGTCCTCTTGATTTTGTTCTTCCAACTCCACAAACTTTTTTACTTGAATTACGAGATCATTAATTACAGATGATAATAATTCATCATCACCTAATTTACATGCAGACCATAATTTAACTTTAGCATTGGTTAAAGTTTCGTTCAGTACGCATTCTGAAAATGCAAGTATTTTTATATATGTAAAAAGATATGATCATTAAAAGAACATAATATATATACATGTATTCACCATCTTTTTTCGTCTTTTTCTTCTGACGACGAGCTTTTTTATTCTTCATATATCTTGGCACAGTATCTTGAAAGGCGAGTAAATTTTCATTAAATTCTACTTCCAATTCTTGTTCAATTAATGAAACATCCATTGGAATATTAGAAGTTCCTGTTTGATCCAATTCTGATTCCGAAGACGATTGTGCTAACCTAGCAATGATATCTGTAATACAAGATCAAATGAAAATTCAATTAATTATTTAATTGTATCTCATATTCAAAATATCTTAAT